TCCACGGAATGCCTGTAGCATCCTATGCACGGGTGAACAAACTGATTGCAATAGCAGAAATCCATTTGAAATCAGTTGAAATCATCGGATTGGCTGGAATTATAGCAGCGAATCAGATTCGAGAAACCTGGTTCCGTACTTATTATGAGGGTAAAACATATTGTTGTTCGGGCCATATGAAAGAGGACTACTGATAAAGCTGGAATCTGCCCAAACAAGGGTATGTATTACCCGTCTCATAAGAGAGATAGGCCCACATGAAATTAGTCCGTTTTTGGACCAAGGAAAAGCCGTGATTTTATTTCTCAGTGAAGGGCAAGGAGGAGACCCATACATATACCCCTCATTCGACAGAGCGTCCTTGATAACCCTAGGATTGCCCCGAACATAACTATGTGTTATTCGTCTAATACGAGAGATAGACTCACCTGAAATCTGATTGGTCCATTTTTGGACCAATCAAATGCCGAGATTTTGTTTCCTAGTGAAGGGCAACGGGGGGACCCATACAAATACCCCTCATTCGATAGAGCGTCCTCGATAACCCTAGAATCGTCTCAACATAGCTATGTGTTAGCCGTCTAGTAGGAGAGATAGACCCTCCTGAAATCTAATTGGTCCGTGTTTGGACCAATGAAATGGCGAGTTCCTTTTTCTGCAAGAAGGGCAAGAATGAGACCCATACATATACCCCTTATTCGTTAGAGCGTCCTCGATAGCTCTAGAATCGGCCCCAATGCGACTATGTGCTTCCGGTCTAATAAGAGAGATAGCGTGGGTGTGGTATAAATACGGCGAAGATCAGTATCACAGGTGATGCACTAGCGTCCCAGGTGATGCTACTAGCATCCCAGGTGATTCCTTAAGTGAGCTCCGAATGTGCAGTTTACATAGTTCGGAGTTCATTTTATTGATCCTGAACTTTATAACCTGATCTGGGATCAAGGAGAAAAACGTGGAGGCGTAAGTGAGCTCCAAATTTGGAATTTACGCAGTTTGGAGCTCACTTTTCTTGACCTTATATAAGAAATATGGCGAATTCTGTTGATAGTGCTTCAATCAATTTATTAAAAGTTTTAGAAAAGTGCAACGCTTCCGATTGAATCTTAACTGTTCTTTTCTTTTATACTCAGTTGTTTTGTCTATGGTATAGAACAGTTTTCGTATTTAGTTGAAATTGGGTATGTTAAAAATGGATTTGTTCGAAATTCTATATTATAAATAAATGAATTCTAACTGTTTTATTGATTTACTCACTGTTTTTGTTTTCTTCTTTTTATTGTTCGAATGATCTACCTTGAAGCTATCTGATTTTTAATGTAATATTTTCAACTATTTAGAGTGAACTTTTATTCTCTCTCTAGTTCCACTCTCTTATGTGACGTACAAATAGGTTGCTTGAATCTAATGGTATTCACTCTTCAATTCTGTTTTGTTATATTTTGGACAATGACTTTCAAAGACCTCCTATATGACAAGGTTACAAGATCTAGTGTTGATTCAGGAGCTCTACTCATCCTATCATAAACTAACATGAATTTTATATATAATGACTTACTTTTGTTTTTGTGTTTTTAACTGTATTAATTCATCCATATCTTTAGCCATTAATGCCCCACGTGAATTTACATTTATAGTTGTTCGAACATCAATAGAAAATAAAGATGATGCAATCATAGATAAATATGGCAATGGCATTTGTTTTATAAATAGTGGTGCCAAATTAACCTTATATTCAAAACGATTTTTAATAAAATATTGTCGATATTCATAAGATTCATTTAATGGCAAAGCACGAGCCATTGCATCCATAGCTATGTATTGGCCAAAACCCTAAGAATTTTCAACAGAAGTCAATAAATCTACTTGTTCAATCAGTTATACTTTTTATAAAGCCTATAAGATTATTCTGCTGAATGATACTGACATTTCGTAATGAATTCAGTCTATGGTTGAACATTAATTCGCTCAGTTTTTATAAATTGAAGCAGATGAAAGGAGAGCAAATAATAATTGTATATGAGATTGATACGATTCGGGTTTCTGACCTTCTTTTCTCGAGCTATGGTCGTTTTATTGATCTTTTATACCTGATGCTTGGCCACTTAAAGGAAAGTAAGAATGCTCTTATTTGGGTCTGAAATTTTGTCCATAAGTAGATCTCATAATTGCTACTATTCTCGTACAGAGAATATCTATTTTGACTAAAACTTCGAGAATATGGTAGCAATTATTAGATCTACTTGTGGACAAAATTTCACACTGAAATGACAGGATTTCACCTTTCTTAAAGTGGCCAAGCAACATGTAAAAAGGCTCGGTAAAACGATCAAAGCTCGAGAAAAAGGGGGCAGAAATCCGAATACCTTTAGGATTTTACTAATCTTACTGAAACCGACATATGGACAAAATATCACGCCAAAAGCATCCAAGTACCTAAGGCTGTTCCGTTGTAAGCAATGGTTTCAAACTAGCTATCACTAATTCACAGCACATAAGAATGGATTAATGAAGCCTTGAGGATTTTGGAAGTTAATTATCAACTCATCGAAGAACTGAGGACAGCGACGAAAGGCTTGCTTCGTTTTTTAGCCGGCACTGGTTGCTCGGTCCATTAAAGTGGCACCTGTAATGTTAAACTTTTGGCGTACTTTTGATTTATTTCGATCTAGAGATGTTTTCAACCAAATAACCAAATGGATATGGTTAAAATCATCAAAAACTGAGCTGTTTTAATGCATGACATGTTATAGATCACGACTGTTTCAGGCTTTTCTAGTCTGAAATAGGCGTTATCATTTGATAATTTTATCTTCAATTACTATCGGTGGAAAAATGGGAGAAAACTGAAGTGCGGATTTTTTCTTAGAGGTGGAATGGCCAAAGAATCTTCTTCACATAACATCATATTATCTATAGGTTCAAAATATTTAGGACATACATTGGTACTGTATGCTGCATATTTGCAGTTTTTCCAGGAACTGATTATTTTGGAGAGACCCGGATAGACCTAAGAAGTGATATAACTGTATGCACTCTTTTCCCGTGAAGTTTGTGAAAAATGCCTTCTAATATCAACATACTTCGTTAAACCAAATTGTATCGATAACTGGTGTTAACTCAAATATAAATGGATAGTAAAATTTTGAAAATAGCCGTTTCGGTAACCAAGCATGTTGAATATGATGTGCTAGATTGTATTGGAATATTCTTATTTGATCTTTTGTACTATTTTTATTTATACCACTACCATATTCAATATTTATTGTACAACTATTTAAATGCTCCATGCTAATACCATAGCTATGCTTGTCATCTAAAGGTTTAGTCATTTCCATTGCAACTGTATAAAGTGGAAATGGGACATTATTGTAATATAATAATAAGTTTTTCATTGCCTGTACACTTAAGGTAGTGGCCATATCAACGTCCAAATTATCCGTATCTTCGGTATAGACAACTACATAAAATGATAATGATCTTTGAATATAGTTTTGTTCTATTAGATTCTGATCAAATGACAGTATTGATTTTGTTTTTTGTTGATATAATTCATCATAAGAAATAGGGATATATGTGACATTCATACTTGGTCCCATGAATACTTGTGTATCGGCTAAATGATAATAATTTTTAGCTATACCACTGGCAGTACCATATGTTTGTTGACCTAGTACACGATTAGTACTAGGTGGTAATGTTAAATGAATAGGCCATCCAGGTAGACTTTGAACGATTAACATTAGAGGCAAATTTTCTACTTTATCCATTGGCTCTAAATAACCAAAAATAGAATAGCCTAAGATGCCTATATAACGATTTTGACGTATTTTTGATGCATCATAACCACTTAGTATCCCTTGTTCATGTTTAGTTAAATTAATTGAATAAGAAATAGTTGATAATGTTTCATTTGAAGCACATTCTAATGTCCATCTTGGACCACCAGTCGAATCTTTTTTGACAGTAATAAGACTTCCAACTGAACTTTTTGCGGCTAAATTATCAACATATGAATCGTAGAATTCTAAAGCATACCCAGATGGAATAGAACGTGGCATTATAAATGTTTGTGTTCCATTTAAATAAAGTTGAATATCTTCATTGATTTCAAATTCGATATTAATATAGATGTTCGTTGATTCAGCGTCATTATAAGATAAGGTATATTTTGCATAGACAGATGGTGAATTGATGGAAGACGATGAAGATGTGGCGAAAAGCAAAACAAAGACGGTTGTAATAATAAGAAAATATGTCCAGTAGTGCATCATATGCAGATTTATAATTGCGGACGTTTTCGTCAACTAGTCAATTAAAAATGTTCTTATTCTGAAATAGAGTGAAGTATCTGAAGAGTTGCTGCTAATTGAAACAGTATCCATACTACAGAAAAAAGTAAATAAATTTATGTCATAGCTCTTATTTCGAATCATAAGAAAAGCATTTCAAACGTACAGAATAGAAAACATAACAATTCAAATATTATTGGGCTGATAATCGACATCATCCTTGTCAGCCTGATCAAAGACATTGCCGATCAACACATTGTCATTGATCATCGATGTAACTCGTCGAGGATGCATGGATCGTTTATGAACTTGCTCTTGCTCAAGTCGAATAATAGTCGATTCTCCAGACTTCATTCAAGCCCATACATTTGGATATGTTTGACAGTGTAAATTGAGCAACACGTGGTAGCCCTCCATATAATTATTTGTTCTCGGACGTGTTCCAATGAGATCAAATAATTGGATACTGAGAGTGAAAGTGAGTGTGAAGGACAAAGTTAGTATCATGGCTCAATTGGCACATCTCTAATTTATACGAATATACGCGCTCTACTTAACTCTTTGACTCTCGGCGACGTAAATATACGTCCAAATATTTCTTATGAAAATTTGAATTTTCGCAACAAAAGATGGAAGTCAAAGAATTAAAAGACACACCATTCGATAGAGTTCAACGAGATCTTTCTGCCACGCTAGTCCTTAATCGTTTGACTCTCAGCTTTTGTTGCGAAAATCCAAATTTTTATAAGAAATGCTTCGACGCATATAAAGGGTGTCCCAGAAGTTCTGAAACGATTTTAAAATTCACCGTTCCCGTATTCTACAAAAGCAAATCGTTCAAACTTTGGTAGATTGTTGTACATATATAGTACTACATAACTACAAAGTTTGAGGTCTATAGGTTTTACTATGGATGAGAAACTGTAACAATACTGACATGTACTATTTTTTAAATTTTCCTCTATTCTGGGTCTGCCAAAATATCTATATTTCGGATTAGGTAGATGATAAAATCTTGAATTTTTTTTAAAAAGATGCGGCCTAAAAAGATCCACAAAAATCGTAATAACAAATCCCTATTGATTTGTGTTAATGGTTTCTGCCATACACAAAATGAAAAACCTACATGATAGTATTACAGTAGCCGACAAAAGTCTCCACCCATCCAGATCTCGGCTACCATAAGTACTGGAGAACTGAAAATTCGTGTGCATATAATCCACCAAGAATTTAGATCATAGCCATGAGCTTGCTTTGATTGCTAACATACAAC